TTTTTTTTTTTTTTTTTTTTTGTCCCCCAAAGTATGTATACAATTTTATAGACATATATTATAAATGAGAAAATGGCTTCAAAATGGTGTTCTATTCTCTGAGGCAAATTTGATTCTTCCAGCAAAATCATCAACAGTTATGGTTCCTATCTCCCCACCAAACCTTGATCTCACTGTCACAGTTCGCGTCTCGACTTCCTTCGCGCCAACAACTGCCATTAATGGTATCTTTTGGGTCTCTGCATTTCTGATAAGCTTAGGCAACCGCTCGCCTTGACAGACTTCTGCTCGAACGCCAATTGCTCTGAGTTTTTCGGTCACCTCTTTGCAGTATGGGAGCTGGAATAAACATGGAATGAAGATTTCATTCAAAGATCACTACTTTAATACCTAAAATGAATCTATGCAATTGATTCAGCTACCAAATCATATTTACAAGGATCCTTGGCCATAATAGACATGATTCTACCTAAGACTTGATTAATTCTTGCATGAGGATTGTTGGGAACGAGCTCTCATACATAATCGAGAGGTACATTATTACGACAGTCAAAACAAGTTGTGAGATCCCACATCGATTGGAGAGGGGAACGAGAGACAACAAGGACGCTAGGCCCCATAGGGGAGTGGATTATGAGATCCTAACATCGGTTGGTGAGGGGAACGAAGCATTCTTTATAAGAGTGTAGAGACCTCTATCTAGCAGATGCGTTTTAAAACCTTGAGGGGAAGCCCATAAGGGAAAACTCAAAGAGAACAATATTTGCTAGCAGTGGGTTTGGGTTGTTACACAACTACTCTGACATTACTAAGATAAACTAGAGGAAATTTTACATATATAATCACCTGGGCATCAGTTACGGGCAGAACTCGAACTTGGATCGGAGAAAGCCATAACGGGAAGTCTCCAGCATAATTTTCTATTAGAATACCAAAGAATCGCTCCAGGGATCCCAGCACCGCACGATGGATCATGATAGGTCTCTTCTTTTCAGAGTTTGAGTTAACATATGTGATGTCAAAACGCTGAGGTAGATTAAAATCAACCTGAAAAAATCAAGAACAGATAGCTTTGTCATTTATCAAACCAAACTGCCTTGAACATCAGTTTGCAGCGAGGGATTGATTGCCTGTATAGTTGAGCATTGCCACTTCCTTCCCAACGCATCCTCGATCTTAATATCGATTTTTGGTCCGTAAAAGGCTCCGCCACCTTCATCAATCTGATAGCCCCACCCCTTGTCACTGAGAGCATCTTTAAGAGCACATGTTGCTTTCTCCCAGATCTCATCGTTTCCCACTGATTTTGGTGGTCTAGTAGAGAGATTTACCTCAAATTTGTTGAAACCAAATTGAAGCAATAGCTCTTCAGTTAGATCTAGAACACCTCTAATTTCATCTTTGATTTGATCATCCAAACAAAATATGTGAGCATCATCCTGCAAAATCCACAATACAGATCAGAAAAGCAGCAAAAGTTTGTGTAATTTCAGCCACAAACAAGGAACAATCCTTCACATGAAGTGCACCTGGGTAAAACCTCTAACACGAAAAAGACCGTGCAAGCTACCAGACAGCTCGTATCTATATACCGTCCCCAATTCCGCGACTCGAATAGGAAAATCTTGATAGGAGGTAAGCCTCCTTTTGTAAAATAGAATATGGTAAGGACAATTCATAGGTCGAAGTTGATAAAGCTCGTCCTCGACATCCATCTGATTGTACATATTTTCGCTGTAGAAGTCTGAATGACCACTTGTTTTCCAAAGGGCTGCTTTCGCCACATGTGGAGTATATAGCAGATCGTAACCGCGTTCTCGGTGCAACGTCTTCCATAAATCTTCGATTATGCTCCTCACGACAGCGCCCTTTGGGTGCCAGAATACCAAACCTCCCCCAGCGTCGTCCTGTGGTCAGTCAAGATTCTAAAGTAACTCAGACCGACATAATCTAAGAGCATAACTCTTGCTACCAACAAGAACATGGTAAATCTAGACCTGAATGGAAAATAGATCGAGATCTTTCCCGAGGCGTCTGTGATCACGACGTTTGGCCTCCTCTTTGAAGTGAAGGTATGCTTTTAATTGTTCTTCGGTCTCCCAAGCAGTGCCGTATATCCTCTGTAGCATTTGGTTCTTCTCATCTCCTCTCCAGTATGCACCAGCAACTGTCTCAAGCTCAACAGCTCTTTTGTTGATTTTTCCAGTAGATTCAACATGAGGGCCAGCACAAAGATCCCACCATTCATTTCCTGTGAAGAATATAGGGTATTACAATGAATCAATATAGTTGAGGGATGAAAATACTAGCCGGTCAAAATAGACCAAGATGTTCTTCATTTACTAGACAATTGATCTATCGTTGTCTTTTGTAACAGTCAAAGCCTACTGCTAGCAGATATTGTCATTTTTGGGTTTTTCCTTTCGAGCTTCCCCTTAAGGTTTTAAAACACGTCTGCTTAGGAGAGGTTTCCACACCATTATAAAGAATGTTTCGTTCCCCTCTACAACCAATATGGGATCTCACAATCCACCCTCTTCGGGGCCCAGTGTCTTCACTTGCACTCGTTCCTCTCTCCAATCGATGTGGAATCTCACAATCCACCCCCCCCTTCGAGGCCCAACGTCCTCGCTGACACACCGCCTAGTGTCCACCAACTCCTTCAGGGCTCAGCATCCACGCTGGCACACCACTTGGTGTCCACCCCCTTTCAGGGATCAACGTCCTCAATGGCAAACCGCCCGGAGTCTAGCTCTAATACTATTTGTAACAGCCTAAGCCCTCCGCTAGCAGATATTGTCCTCTTTGGGTTTCCCTTTCAGGCTTCTCCTCAATATTTTTAAAACGTGTCTGCTAGGGAGAGGTTTCCACACCCTCATAAAGAATGTTTCATTCCCCTTTCCAACTGACATGGGATCTCACAATCTACCCCCCTTGGTGCCCAACGTCCTCGCTGACACACTGCCCGGTGTCCACCACCTCCTTTGGGGCTTAGCGTCCTCACTAGCACACCGCCTAATGTCCACCCCCCTTCAGGATTTAGCGTCCTCACTGGCACACTACCCGGTGTCTGGCTCTAATACCATTTGTATAAGCTCAAGCTCACCGCTAGCAGATATTATCTTCTTTGGGCTTTCCCTCAAAGTTTTTAAAACACGTATGCTGGGGAGAGGTTTCCACACCCTTATAAAGAATGCTTTGTTTTCCTCTCCAACCGATGTGGGATCTCACAATCCACCCCCCTTTGGGACCCAGCGTCCTCGCTGGCACTCATTCCCTTCTCCAATCGACGTGGGACTCCCCAATCCATCCCTCTTGGGACGCAGCATCCTTTCTCGTATCCACCCCCCTTCAGGGCTCAGCCTCCTCGCTAGCACATCGCCCAGTGTCTAGCTCTAATACCATTTGTAACAATTCAAGCCCACCATTAGCAGATATTGTCCTTTTTGGGCTTTCCCTTTCGCCTTTCGGGCTTCCCATCAAGGTTTTTAAAACATGTCTGCTAAAGAAAGATTTTCACACCCTTATAAAGAATGTTTCGTTATCCTCCCCAACTGATGTGGGATCTCACACATGGTCACAATCAAGAGAACATTTTGGACTTTGAAAAAGTACAAAGAAAAGGAAGAACGTTTTTTTTTTTTCAAGAAACTCAAAACTCTAGTGATTCATAAGCCAAACTTCAACCAAGCCCTCTCAAATGAGTTCAACTACAGAAGCTTTCGACATAAGCACAAAATTAGAAAATCTCATAAGTTACAACACAAAGGGTACAAAGATGATTGCAATCCGTACCAATATGATAGATGGTTATGGGATCCTCCTTTATACTTTCCAAAATCTCCATCTTGTAAGGTTCGTTGATTGCCTCAATTCTTCTCTGAGCTTCACCCCTTGAAACTTCTTCTCTTACAAGTGGTAAGTTTCTGCTAATAATGCGTTCCTACAGATAATATGAGAAATAAATTCCATACCCTGAAAGCATAGCCCAATG